TATTTTTATGTATTTTTTATGTATTTTTAAAAATATTTTTCTTATTTTATTTTAATTTTTAGAAAAGAAAAATTCATAAGATTAATATAAAAGCTTTCCTAAAGTTTCTTAATTTTTTTTATTAATTTTAATTTTTTTATTATTATTTTTATGTATTTTTTATGTATTTTTAAAAATATTTTTCTTATTTTATTTTAATTTTTTATTTATATATATATATTTTTTTTAATTCATAGCAATGTTATCAAATTTTGCTTTAAATTTTGCTTGGTTATTTCTTATTGCTTATTTCTGTTTATTTATTTATTTATTTTTTTTGTATTTATATTTTATTTTTGTTTTTTTTTTTTCTTTTATTTTTAAACTATTTTATTTATTTATTGATTTTGATATAGTCTGCATACATCTATGTCTGTATAGAATATTTTGAAATACTCATTTGCTATGCGCTGCCTTATCGATATGGGTCACATGAGTGATATCTCTGTCGAAACTATGTCAAGCCAAACATTATCAAGTGAACGACAATCTCAAGATATCGCAGCTCGTCAAGTAAAATTTCCATTGAGAAAACTCTAAAGGGGCATCTAAACAGTTTGGGCTTGATGTTTCACGCTTAGGTGTAATCTTTAGCTATGTCAATCTATATGTCTGCTGGAATATCTGTAACAGCCACTCATTTACATCAAGCGCGACAATTTAGAGACTTTCACTTGGAATCTGTTGGGGCCATTAAATAGTTACGATTGCACATAAAGCGGCGGCACATAGATCGGCTCTACTATGAGACTGTGAGACTTACCCAAGAGCTGCTGACTGGTCTTCAGCTGCATGAGCATGGCCTCCGCTTGTGGGGCACTCAGCTCACTGGGCTCGGCATCGGCTGCCTGGTTGGCTATGAGCAGCTGCTCCTCGAACTGCTCCAGCAGCCGGTGGAAGCGCAGCGCCGTCATCAGCACCTTGCGGCGTCGTTCCAGGCGCTCGGCAAAGGAGCGGCACACGAACTGCATGAAGTCGCGCTGCGAGAGCAGGTCCTGGCACAGGGCGGCGTCGCGCTCCTTGGCAAACTGCTCGATCTTGTAGAGCAGCTCTGCATAGCAGCCGTAGGTGTCGCGGCACTCCAGCTCCAGTTGATCGTGCGCCGCACGCAGCGTTTCGGAGGCGCGCACATCGCTGCCGACGCTGCGCTGCCGGCTGAGCAGCTGCTCGGCCTGGTTCAGAATCCAGTTGGTGACAAAGGCCACGCCCTCGGCCAGGGTGCAAAGCTCGCGTGCCTCACGCAGCGCCCGCAGCAGCTCCAGCCAAGCGGTGCGTATGGCCGTCTGCTTCTTCTCGATCTCATTCAGCCGCAGCTCGATGCGGGCTCGCTCGCAGCTCAGGTCGGGCGGCAGCAGCGGCTTAGCAGGGCACTGACCACTGCCAGTTGCAGTTGACGATGTTGCTGCTGCTGCTGTTGTTGTTGCTGTTGTTGTGTGTGTTGAGCTGGCAGCAGCAGGTGCGGCATGTGGCGTTGCCGTTTGCGTCTCGTAAACTTCGTTAAAGCGCGCCAAGATCGCGTTACCTGCGGCAAAAAGTGAAATGGGCAAAAGGGTTCAAGTTTCAATGAAAATCTGTTTATTAGCCGTGTGTTTGTTTGCCTAGTTAACACAGCATTTCTATTTGCCTATGCCTCATGTAAAAAAAAGTGAAAAGCTGCGCTCAGATTGTCTGCGTGGCTTTTTCTTCACGCATCAGCGCAGATCTGACAAAGGCAAAAGCAAAGCAAAACACAATCAAATCATGGCTGTCTAAGTGAAGGGTCACGATACACACGAGTCGCAGTCACCCACACACGCGCCGCATTGACATGAGCATCGAGTGGTTCAGTGGTTTCTGCGGTATTCTCCATTTGTTCAGCACTCGTCGCAGACACAGCACAACAAACGAAACCCAATGCGCTGCTCAGAGGTGTGAAATGGCTGCATCGGAAGTGTTTGAAGTTTGCAAGGAGGGAATCCATTGAAATACAGATATTTACATAGACAATCTAAATATATAATAGTAATTATAGTCATCTCATACGTTCATAGTATATTAGTCGAACTATATTTAGGTCAAGCAGTCTAAAAACTTAAATGATCTTCATATCAATATACAATTTAGATTCAGCATTCAAGCTAAGCAGAAGTGAGAGAGCAAGTTCGTAACTTCAAGAAGATACATATATTAATGACAACTAAAGACATCCCTAAGAATTTGCTTAAAATATTTTAGTTAAATTAATACACAAAGGCGAAAAGACAAGAGACTGACAATAAATACAACAGAAATCTCAACTAACATCATGGCAATCAATATTCCGTATCCACACTCCACAAGTCAACGAACTTTTTTAAACAAATAACCTGATTCCTGCTAAACAAATGCTGTTGGCTTATTCCAAGCGTTACCTAATATCAAGCCAATTCGTATACAAAGTGATAGTTACTAAACATTTCATGCATCAGCTATTCCGCATAGATTGCCCCGACGAGCGGCTAGTATTAGTTACCCCAGCAAAAGATATCCATAGCTGTTCCTCCACAACTTTCATATATAATATTACCATTCGTTCTGTGCTACTCCCACTCTTACCTAACATATTTATGATAATTTTTGGGATTATATTTTCTAATTTCCAACACTTACAATAGCTTGAGTAAAACCTCGTGTGAATGCCCAAAAGAGGCTTATAAAACCGAGATCCGAAAACTGAAAACTGAAAACTGAAACAATGGAAAACTATTCAACACAATTTATCTGGATTTTCTAAGTTTTCACTTATGTGTTTATCAGATTTTTAAGAAACTTTTCAAGTTTGGGCAGTGGGAACTGAGAAAATCTACAAATGGCGCATTTAAAATGCATAAAATTATAATTACGCCTTGGCTGAAGCTTTAATTTTGGTCATATATCAAATGGCCAAGAAAACACTTTCTAGATCACGCACAATTTCAAGAGCACAGAAACCAATTTCAATGTTAATCAGTGTAATAAAAACTCAACCCACAAAGCCACAAAACAAGTTTGCCAAACATTTTCATTTCTAATTGAAACACGCACACGACTTATGCACGCAGTAGTAGTATTTGTTGTTGTTGTTGTGAATTACTTGTCACATTTTGCTGTCTGTTAACTCGTTTCGTTTCGTTTCGTTTGTCGCTGTCGTTGACGGCGACGCTGCTCATTGAAATTATGTAAATTGTTTCGCTCACCACGCAAAACGAAAGACTCAGGCAACGAACTTGCCGCGACTGCGGCTGCTGCCGCCGCCGCCGCTAAAGGCCTCTTCGCTTACCCATCTCAATCGCCGACTCAATGCTGCGCTGCACGTGCGTATGCAGCTGAGCGCACTTCTTAAGCTCGACATCCGCTTCCGCTGGCCGCAGCGACTTCAGCAGCGCCAACAGCTGCTCCATGCCGGCCAGAGTTTGCGCGTGGGTCTTGCTGAACTCGTCCACGGACTGCAGCGGGAGAGAGAGAGGGCACTGGTTAGCTGACAGTCGATTAGTGTTGGGCTGGCGCTTACCTTGCGCTGCTGCAGCCATAGATCATAATTGAATTGCAGCGTGCCGCCCAGCTCCTCGGGCAATTGGTGCAGCTCTATGAATTTGGCCAGGCGTGCCTTCGACAGCACCAGGGGCTGTGGGGCAGACAGACACGATTTGATTGTGCGGCTCATTTGCATTTGCATGGGCATGGGTGGCTTACCTCGCCTTTGGTCTGCGACTTGGCGCAAGGCTCCACGTGCTTCTCCCAGAAGCCCTCCGCTCTGACTAGATAAACATCGACGCTGATGTCGCCGCCAAAGAGCGCATAAATCTGGCGCACGTGCTGCCTGGATATGCGCGAGCTGATCTCCTGGGCGTTGACAACGACGCTCACCCCATGCTGCAAGACAGACGCGCTAGAGCGAGACAGAAAGAAACAGAGAAGAAGAGAGAGAAGGGCGTGTAGATAAGTTAACAAACTATTCACAGAAATCTCGTTTTGCTGTTGATTAACTTAAGCTGGAGCTGAATCTCTGGGCCTAATGCCAGTTGATTGATCACATCAATATCTTAGCTCATATTTAATTTGATTTCTTGTTTTTATTGTGACTCCAAAAGTTTCTCCAAGCGACTCAGTCCAAACAGCTGAGATACAAATTTAGATATTTTAGAGTGATCTATCTTTGACGTATCTCGCGAGTCAGCCTGCGGCAGGTCATTCGCTTTGATCCGACTACAAAAGGCTAAGAAGTTCTTAAAATGGCATTAGCATATCGGGGCGTGGAGCGCCCAGTGCAGAGAGCTAATGAAAAGAGTTTGATACGAGGCCTAAATCATCTGCGGGCCATTTGCATACTTGGTCTATGCTAATTAGTTCGATTAGCTTTGAGCGGCCTGTTTCGGACTCACCTGAGCGAACGCTTGAGATAGTCGAGCGTCAGTTGCAGGCAGCGGCGATTCCACAATTGTTGATCATTGAATGCATTCACAATGAATATGATTCGCCTGTCCCGATCATAGCCGCCGCACAGATAAGCGCAGCGCATCTGCAGCGCATTCAAGACGTCCTCCTCCATGAGTCGGCCGCAAAGAACTTTTTAATTGTGAGGGCTTTCAGCTTTCAGAAAACGTCATTTCTATTAACGGGCCGACCGGGCGTCCGTTCGAATAAATGAAAAACACAAATTTAGAAAGAACACAAAGAGGCAAAAACTTGTACGTATGACTATTTGTTTTTCATTGGGGCTGACTTTTCTACTTCTGCTTATGATTATTGTTGTTGTTGTTGAAAATTAATACGAGTCACAGTTAGCGCTGTTGCAGCAACTGTTGCTGCTGCTGCTGCTGCTGCACAATGCATTTCCAATGCCGTTGCCGTTGTGGAACACGTTTGACAAGTCGCAGACTGAAGACTGGAACTGCACACATGATTTTCACTATTTTCATGTTAGTTTAAGCGCTGCCAGGGCTGCCCGTTTTGCCTGCTAGCCAGTTGTTTTTTTTTTCCACTAATGGAAAATACCAATTTTCCACATACCCTGCACATTTTTAAATGCCGCCGCAAGAATTTCAGTTGACTTGAGCTGAGAGCTGGCTAAGGAATTTGCATATGCTTGACTTGAAAGGCGAGTTGCTTAGCTATCTTTAAGGAGTATTTTAGCCATATATATACCTCCTCATTCCTTATGCATATGTATATTGTTAGGGCATATACCCTACACTCTAGTTCCGCTCAACTGAAAGCAAATTCGATTCACTTTTACCTTTCGTTTCTCTCACTTCACTACTCTTACAGGGTATTTGCTAATCGCGCACTCTTGTTTAGAGCATTGCCATTTGCGTTTTTCTCTTCTTTTTTTTTTTGGAAAATTACTTGACACAAATTGTAGTCAACGGGCAGGCCGCTAAACTTTTTCTATGCCAGGCCAAACGGCAGCTGCAGTTTTGGCTTAATTTGTTGCTGACTGATAAGAGGCGTGGCACACACTCACAACACACAGACGTATACACTCCCGTAGTCTTTCACTTGTGCAGAAATCCTGTTTTCTGTTTGGCCAGCCCGTTGTCTATCTTACAGTTATGCGTTAAGTGAGTCTAAAACTTGCTCCGTTTTATGGCCAAGAATGTTCAATGCGGCCCGTGGGCAATTTGCACCAGTTGCCAACCTGTTGCCAGCAATATAATTGTCAAGAGTTTTGAGTCGACTAGCGGTTATGGCTCGCTGCTTCTTCCGCATCGAATTACAATTAACAACAACAACAACAAACCAGAGGAAAATTGCAGCAGCAGCAGCAGCGATATAAACTTCCAGCAGCAACATGAATTTCAAGTTTCAAATGTCAGATACAAATTGAATAATTTTGCAGAGGCAAAAAGTAGCAACGCGGCAAAAATTCATAAAGAGAAATAAAATACTCAAAAATAAAGAAGTAATTTAGAAAGAGCTAGACAGGCAGAGAGAGAGAGAGAGAGAGAGAGGGGCAGAGAGAGAGACGGTTAGCTAGGCCCTGCTGGGCATTTAATGCCCCGCTTTTGTTTGGGGCACACCTTAGCAGGCGGTTTTTAGGCCTTGCGGCAAGTTAAATATGCTACTAAAATAGACAGGAGAAAAAAAAAACAAAACAAACAAACAAACCGAAAAAAATAAAAACAAATGAGAAACCGTTTTGTGGCGTTTTTCAGTAACTTTGTTAAGAACTCTTTTACTTTGCTTTTATGATATGGCGATAAGATCTATGCGGGCCAAGCGAAAATGAGCGACGTCTCTGTTTGAGCTGTTAAATTAATTGAAAAGTTCAACTGGCAGCAGCAGCAACAACAACAGCAACAACAACAACAGCAACACGAAACCCATTAGCATTTCGACCAAAAAATTTGTTTTAACAGCTGACAAATGTTTTTTGTTCTGTTTGGTTTGGTTTTTTTTTTTTTTTTTGTTTTTTTGTTTGGCTTTTGGCTTTTGGCTTCATTACAATTTTGGTGTAATTAATTATTTTGCTTTGCCTTTGGACTTTTTATGCGGCACTCAAATTGTAATTTGACATTAAATTCCAGTTAAGCGCTTTTTGCGGCACCGTTCGAGTTATTGACTTTCAAAATTGCACTTGCTCCGTCGCTGGACGGCAAACCCGTAATAAAGACCGTGCCCCCGCGCCCCCGTGCCCACAGCCGTACCCGTAACAGATCTCACTCGCTCGCTGGAGTCGTCTGTGTGCGCCGGCCAACAGCTCGCGCGCTCAACTAAAAGTTCGCTTCGTCGATTCGTAGGTTGCTTGGCGCCTGCGTCGCGCGCTTTGCAACCCGGTTTGAGTTTGAGTTTGAGTTGCAAGCGATTTGTTGGATGTCTGCTGACTGCTGGCTGCTGACTGTTGGCCCCCGGGCGTTGCGTGTCGGCTCAGCTGTTTTTCACTTGGCTCTCGCTTGCATATCAATTGGATAGTTGCTGCTGCGATTGCCCTTTTTCTTTTCTCAGTTTTTCTGTTTTTATTTTTATTGTCTGCCTGCACATAAAAACCTGTTCGCAGGTGAGTCGAAGCTGTGGTTTCTTCGCTGTCTGCTAAATTAAAAGCAAAACATGCGTTTTGTCTGCTGCAGTTGTTATCGGAGTGTGTGCAGTTGCTGAAAGTTGCTTGAGCAGGATAGATTAGCTATGAAGCTGGCTTGGAAAAGGCACTGCGAACATCTGATGAAAGCTGTTAAAGGGCAATCAGAGATTTTTATAATTAAACTACTACTATTCTTCTACTCTTTCTAATTTGATTAGTACTGCTACTATTACTACTGCTACTTCTATTAGTTCTACTGCTATTACTACTACCATGACTACTACTAATATTGCTACTGGCATTACTACTACTACTTTTGCTATTTTTATACCCTGAACCCATTGAAAATGGGAAATCAGGGTATAATG